AAAAAAGAAAAAAAAAGAAAAAATTACCTAGGTGAAAGGTGATTGCTTCGCTCGCAGGGCACTCCATGTCCGCCAACGGACGGGCGGTCTTCGGCGCAGCGGGCGTTCGAAATGTCGCCCCATTGTTCGCATTCTTCTCTGTCGTCATTTCTGGCCAAGTTCAACAGCTCGTCGCGTGCCACGTGGACTCCTTTCCGCTCCTTTACGCCACGCCGCCTGACTATTCGCGACGCCGTGTGGATCTGCGCAACGCCACGTGGACTTCTTTCGTCACGCCACCTGGGATTCGCGCCACCTCGCGTGAACTCGTTTGCGCACGCGACACCACGTGGACTCCTTTCTCCCAAGCCACGTGGACTCCTTTCTGCCAAGCCACGTGGACTCCTTTCTCCCAAGCCACGTGGACTCCTTTCTCCTCTCGCTCTAGGCTGTGCTTTTTTCCTTCACCTGGCTTCCGCTCTCATGCGCACCACGACGTCAACCTCCACTTTCCCCCCTTCGTCTGGTTCCTCCCCTTCCCGCCTCCTGCTCGAGAGATTTTACACTTTCTAGCCGTTGGCTTACCTCTCAAACTCCCCAAACGGCTGAACAACGGTCCCTACTACCCGGGCAAGGTCCCGCTTGCATTGATTAAGAGAATTTGGCCGTTGATTTTCCTTATCTACGGCTGCTTTCTCTTAATCCCTGCAAGTGGGACCTACCGGTAGCAGACCTTTGACCAAGATCGTTGTGATTGCCCGCGTCATTTCTGTTTTGTCCCCCTGATTAGAAACCTGGAACCAGATCCCACTTAGCTCGATTTCTCGAAAATCAACGGCCAGAGAGAAACAAAAAGAACCAACGGCCATAAACGAACAATCCGCTGCTTGCGCCGCTTGCCATTTGTATTTGTGTGAACGCTGAGTTCGCCTCCTGCCCCTTGCGGTTAGGCTTTGCCGTGACTCTGACTTCGTGGAATGTGGGTGTGGCGGTGCTGTGCGGTGGGGACATACAGTTGTTCCTAAGGAAATTTCCAAAACACCCCCATAAGTTGTGATACAAATGCCAAAATGCCCCTGAAAGATATGGGTAGAATGGAATGCCATTTTTGGCCCAAATCTTTGTGTTATGCCCTGTCAGATTGCTCCACAATTTTGCAATCTGGACGTCGACATTTGCCTTGGCCTTCTGCAATCGGGCCTTGGCAAGTACTGGGGCATTTTGCGAAGTTGGATGGTACCCAATAGGGGTCTGTTGCAAAGATGGGGGATCCAACTGTAAAAAGGGCTGTGGAGGTGTCGGGGGTTATGACCCAGGGAGGATGTCCGACAGAGGGCTTTCCGCCAGGGTCAGCCCCACTGGCGGTACAGCGGGCCCACCCACTACCCAGTGGTCACTCAAGGAAGGAACTCACAATCCTCGCAACCCACCCGGGAGTATCGGCCCAGACCGGCGCTACCAGGCTGCTAGCGGCAGGGGTCACCCCTCTCATACTCAAGGCTTCACCTCCCTGTGGCTCCACTGTCGGGAGGCATTTCGCACCACAGTCACAATGGTGCCGCAGGGACGCACCAGCTCCTGCTAGGGGAGGGGTGACCCCCTCACCCCTCCCGCACGCTCCAACTGAGCCTGCCCCTCCCGGAGCCACTCCCCCCCCATGGCCTCGACAACCCCAAGGGGAGGCACACGCTCAACCGTTACGGGGACCCAAGATGTACGGTTGGGATATCAGCATCCAATGGGCACCCTTGCAGGTGGCTCCCCAGGTTCAAAGCTGCAGAGCCCTATGTACATCCGTGCCCTTGGAAGCGTGCGCACTCAGTGTGTGAATGGTAGTGCGTCAACCTAACGTCGTGTCGGCGGCATATGCACGAGGCTGCGGATTTGAACCCGCAACCTCATACCACAATGTGCATTTCCAACCGGTGCCTTAACCATTGGGCCATCCGCCACTCACTGGGGGATCCAACTGACCCGCACCTGATTTAAACAAACCTGAATTTCACTGCGCACGGAGGTTTGCCGAGCCTGGGTCCCGTTGTATTTTTTTCTCGTAGTCCTCCCAAACGAACAACGTGAAAGAGGAAAAAAAAACAAAAATAAAAAACGCAACAACGCTATGGACGAAAAAGCAGTTGGATACAGAATCAGGGGTCGGTGTGAGAGTATGCCCTCAGTGAGGGCGTTTACATGTCCACGTTCATCACGGACGTTACTTTCATAAATGAAGAACAACAAAGAAAAAAGCAACAACAATATAGATGTGAAACCGGTTAGATACAGAATTTGAGTATATGCCATCCTTGACAAGTTGTCAGAAGTTTGTGCAGTGTTCCCTGCCCCGCGTTCATCACAGAGGTTCCTTTCACAAATGAAAAACAAAAAAAATCCCAAATAATTTTGACTCCAACAATGGAATATTTTTCAAGAGAGCATTGAGATCTATGTGAACGCAGTTAAAAATGAAGGAAGTTTCGGGGGTTTGATTAGTCAAGGAGTGACCACGCTCTTCTATAAGAAGGCAGATAAGGAAGATATTTGAAACTACCGGCCGATCACACTCCTTCCCCGCCCATATAAGATGGTCTTCAAAACCCTCACCAACCGATTGCTTCCGTACATGAACTATCTCATCTTCCAAGATCAGACTGGGTTTATGCCACAAAGAAACATACAAGATAATGTTCTCTTAGTGAATGAGAGTGTTAAGCATCCTAGACAGCACCGTAAGGAAGTCGCAGTCTTGTTCATAGACTTTGAAAAAGCATATGACCATGTGGACAGTGACTTCCTAAACTGTTGTCTACTCAAAATGAATTTGAGGGACTGCTTCAGAACGTGGGTATCTATCATGCATAGGTCAGCTGCCACAAATATCATGGTCAACGGACCCCTCTGAGTCTCCCCTTCATTCCCACTGCAGAGATCAGTTAAGCAAGGGGACCCGGTGGACCCCCTTCTCTTTGTACTGGTCATGGAGGCACTGACTGCAATGATCAGAAATAACCCGGCTATAGAACGCATCGACATCCAAGACTTGTCCTCTCATATGATGCAAGTGACGTCCCTCTTTGTTGATGACCTTACGGTCCTCATCAGGGTCTTCGCTGCGTCAATCCAAACATTAACCGACATCATCCAAAACTTCGAAGTTGTGGCAGATATGAAGGTTAATTGGGGTACAAAGACGGAGGGATGGTGGCTCTCCCCGCAGGACAACTTACCACCACAACAGTCGTCGGTTAACTGGTGCCCAAGGGAAGAAGTCATTAGAATTCTTGGGATCCGCCTGACAACTATGGGCCCCCCGACAGATCATGACCAGACACTCGTCCATTTGGCACTACAAAGATTGGTTAAGTGGGATGGCCTCCAAACATCGCTGGTGGGAAGAGCGTTAGCAATACACAACATTGTTCTATGCACTATTTGGTATAAAACGGCCTTTTGGGAAATCCCGAAAAAACACCTTAGGCAACTCTGGGCAACGTTGTCAGTGTACCTACTATGGAGAAACGATCATAACCTGATGAAATGTCTAAAGAGAGTGGTTTGGAAGTACGTGGCCCAACCAAAGAGAGTGGGTGGGTTGGGCATCCTGGACCTAGGAGATGAGATCAAGGCCCTCATTTTCAAAATAATCATTCGCCTGTTGCTGGCAAACGACGTCTCATAGTTGTCACTTGCATACATACAGCTCGCAAACTTGACCCCTCCCTCCCACCCAGATCATGATGCCCCAGTTCACCCCCTCCAATGGTTAACAAACAAGGTCTGGTCCGTGCCTGGTCCCCCACACCACAAGAATCATGAGACAACTCACAACAAGGTAAAAAGGGACCTTAAACACGACCCATTGTGGACCGCGATACTGCAATTCTGCAGGGAAATTGGCTCGGTGTCGCACTTTATCTAGTCAGGCCACTTCAGGCGATCAGAAAACCAACAGGCTGTCACGCAGGTTTTGGATGTCATTTGCAATAAATTAATAAATTAAATAAAATAAATCCCTTCCTGTTGTGTGCAACCTGCTTCGAGCGAGATCCATCAATTGCGATCTTCGCTGGTCCCCGGTCTTAGGAATCTTTTATTTTGATTCGGAACAGCAAGAACCATGCAAATATTAATAATAAAATTATGGTATGTCATGCATGCATCAATTTTGCCAATTTTTTTATTTTGAGAATTGTGCTGAGATCATCAAGAAGCATAATCATAAAGCAGAGTCAATGCAAATGAAGCAGGACTGACTGATTTGAGAAATGACAAAGATAAGTGAGGGAAGAATGAGAACTCGTAATAATCTCAAAGAGTAAATATAAGTAGCAAGGCCAACACTAGTCAAGAATCGTCACTCATCCCTCAGGGTCATACACTCAATCTCTCATTTTGTTGTGCGTCTTGAACCACACTCGTGTACCTCCCGAGATTGTGATCTCTTAATATAGAGTCACATGAAGCCCGCAAGTTCATAGCATTTCCAACCAAGTCCCATGATTCGGAAGTCAACCATAACACAAAACTCCTCCCATAGTGTAGGGAGATATGGTTGAGAGAAGTCCCCTCGTCTGAGATGCCAGAACTCTGAAGGCTCAGTCACTACCTCATAATCAATTGTTGCGGGAGAAATGTACCTCTTAGCCAGATCTACCAGGTCACCCCCGTACGAATCATCAGTAAGAGTGAAGGGTACTGGAGGCTTGGGGTAGTCAGTGTAAAGTTTGAGTCCAAAACTGTGGATTAGTCTAATACCACTCTCATCGAACTTTTTTTTTCTCTGGCTGCAGAGACCCAAACTGAATCGAAGTGCTCATGAGTCTTTTTGCCCCTCTTCGGGTAGATCCTTAAGTCATGAACGGTACCTCCTGCACACTTCGTGTGAACCACAAAACCTGACAAGTCTCCCTGCCTGAAACCAACTGCACTTACATATCGATACTAGAAAGCATCATTGAAAGTGATCCTGTTGAGACTGATCATAACAACCTTCTGGATTGAGAATGACTGAACTGCACTCATGTGCTGAGTCAAGTACTGAAAAACAGGCCAGAATGTCCACCAGAGATACCAATAGGCTGATATTGACCTGATAATAGATGATTGACGATTTGCACTGACGATCGTTTTCCCTGATGACTGACGTTCGAGTTTAGTTAAGACACTTAATAGTTGCTGTGTACTTCATCATAAACTGTGTACCACCGTTGACCAGCTGTCGGGACGTAGTTCGGA